CCAGCTCTCTGCTATGGCCTGGGAAAGCAGTAGAAGCTGGCCCAAGCCCTTGGGCCCCTACACCCAAATGGGAGACCCAGAAGAAGCTCCTGGCTCCTGGCTTCAGATCAGTGCAGCTCTGATCATTGCAGTCATTTGGGGAGTGAACCAGCAAATGGAAGAAATCTCTCTCTCTCCCTCTGCCTCTGCCTCTCTGTAACTCTGCCTTTCAAATAAAATAAACAAATCTTAAAAAACAAAAAGACTTCAGGTTGGATGCATTAGCAGGAAGTCAAGGAAGCACTACAGTGAGTGCTTTTAAAAGCGTGGTCTGGATTGGACTGGGTTTAAGCCCTGGCTCCATGCCTTACTGGTCCCATATCCTTGAAGCACTTACTTAATCTCTCTGAACCCAATTGCTTAATTTATAAAATGGGTATAAAAGTCACCTACTGGCCGGCGCCGCGGCTCACTAGGCTAATCCTCCGCCTTGCGGCGCCGGCACACCAGGTTCTAGTCCCGGTCGGGGCGTCAGATTCTGTCCCGGTTGCCCCTCTTCCAGGCCAGCTCTCGGCTGTGGCCCGGGAGTGCAGTGGAGGATGGCCCAAGTGCTTGGGCCCTGCACCCCATGGGAGACCAGGAGAAGTACCTGGCTTCTGCCATTGGATCAGCGCGGTGCGCCGGCCACAGCGCGCCAGCAGTGGCGGCCATTGGAGGGTGAACCAACGGCAAAGGAAGACCTTTCTCTCTGTCTCTCTCTCACTGTCCACTCTGCCTGTCCAAAAAAAAAAAAAAAAAAGTCACCTACTTCAGAGTTGCAAGGTTACATATGGCATGTTAGAACAGTACCAGTCACATAATATTTGATACTTGATAAATTTATTAATTTTAAGTCAGGCTGGAGGAAGAGAACAGGACTTAGGCAGAAAGGGTGTGTTGTTCCTGTATACAACTGATGACATCTGTCATTGGTTATCTTCAAATAATCAATAATGGGATGCATTATTGTTTTTTTTTAAGATTTATTTATTTATTTATTTCAAAGGCATAGTTATGGAGAGAGGGAGTGACAAAGAGATCTTCTATCCCTGGTTCACTCCCCAGGGAGTGAACTGCAATGGCCAGAGCTAAGCCAATACGAAGCGAGGAGCCAGGAGCTTCTTCTGGGTCTCCCATGTGGTTGCAGGGCCCAATCACTTGATCCATCCGCTACTGCTTTCCCAGGCCATCAGCAGGGAGTTGGATCAGAAGTGGAGCAGCCAGGACTCGACTTGGTGCCCAAAAAGGATGCCAACACCACAGACAGATGCTTAACCTACTACACCATGGTGCTGGCCCCAGGATGCATTATTTATAGGTTTTCTAATACTTCCTGAAAAAACAAAACCAAACTAAAACCAAGCAGGAAAACAAAAGAAGTTGTGTTCTTTTCCCCCAGTATTGAGAAAACAAAAAATGTGAAAAAGGACGTAGGGTAGTTGCCACTGTAATTTTTGTCATTGAATGCTAAATTGTAGGCTAGTTTTCACTGTGCATAATGTCTGCTTATTAATTTTACTACAGATTTTTTTCAGTTTTTCTGATTTTTTTTGTTCTGTCCTCATAGGCTTCCTGGTTAATCAGTTATTTCAGCAATGTTTCTTACTTGTAAAACAAAAAGGGTGAATGGTATGTGACAAATATAAATTGATGAGACATGGGTAGAATTAATTTTAATGAGAAAATAAGTCTTTCAGAGGACCATAATCTATTTAGTTTAGAAGCCTGTGAAAATTTTGTTATGCCTTTCATGTGTCATATGCTTTCATCTGTTGAGCATTAGTGAACACTGTTTTATTAGCATCCGTGAACTTCCGGGTTTTAAAATCTATATTCCAGCACTCTGAAATGGCATCACACAAGTCTTAAGTTCTTCCTAATATTACAGTAGCTACCATAGCCTTGTATGTTCTGCTATGCAGTACTGAAAACCACTGTAAAGAGAAGATTATCTCCATTTTATAGATGAAGATAATGAAATATTAGAAACTTGTTCAAAGTGATATGGTGGTAACTGGAAGAACCTGACTTTAAAAATCAAATTTTTTAAAAGATTTATTTATTTGAAAGGCAGATTTACAGAGAGAAAATGATAGAGAGCCCTTCCATCTGCTGGTTTGCAAATGGCCTCAACAGCTGGGGCTGGGCCAGGCTGAAGCCAGGAGCCAGGAATTTCATCCATGTCTCCCACAAGGGCCGCATTCTGCTGCTTTCCCAGGTTGCATTAGCAGGGAGCTGGATCAGAAGTGGAGCAGCCAGGACTCAAACAGATGCCCATATGAGATGCCAGCATTGCAGGCGTATCTTAACCTGCTGCACCCAAGTGCCAGCCCCTGAAATCAAATTTTGATTTCAAAGAGCCGAGACATAAACTGGCACCCGTAAGCGATGCTGGCGTTGCAGGTGACGGCTCTGCTCACTATGCCCCAACAACAGCCCTGTCAAAGTTTGGGTTTTTAAGAACCACAGTACCAAATGCCTCTTTAAACTGCAGTCAGTCAGAAAACTGCAAAGCTGACCCTCTGCAAAGTGGCCAGGCTTATTTATTGCCTTCCTTGCCATTATTTTACTGTCCAATTTAACTCAACAGAATGAGGTGTAAAAACTTAAATAATCATCCAGCTTAGTAGTGCTCAGCCAATCATGAGTCGCCTGAGACATTTATTTTTTGAATTTTGTGTAGGTGGATTTGAGCTGGAGCCCATGGATGTTTGAACCAGTTCTACATGTGATTTTGACAGGTTTAAAAACCACTTAAATTTAGGCAGGTGAATTCCCCCTATCCAACACCCTCACCAATTTTTCTGACGTTTGCTCATCTAATCTCTGATATATATTTGTGACAAGAACTTAGTACTACCTAGTCAGAAGGTTGTATAATTAGTAGTTAGGCAGATTACTATACTTGTATAAGAGTGACCATTTACTACCACATATGAATTGGATTAACTCTTTAAACAGGTTCACTTTCCAAATGACACCAATTATCAGGCCTGGGCCAGGAGGAAGCCAGAAGCTGGGACCTTCTGGTTCTCTCACATGGGTGCAGGGGCCCAAGCACTTGGGCTGTCTGCTACTACTTTCCCAGATGCATCAACAGGGAGCTGGATAGGAAGTGGAGCAGCTGGGACTTGAACTGGCACCCACATAGGATGCCACTGTTGCAGGTAGCAGGCTTAACCTACCATGCCACAATGCTGTCCCCAAAATGGATTTTTATGCTTCTTGGGTATTGGCTTTGAAGTTTGATCTGGGTTTTAATATTCTCTGAACCTCATCTTCCTCATGTATAAAATGGGTATGTTGTTAACAAACTTGAAAGACTATACCAAGGATTAAATGAAAAAAAAAATTATGCTGGCTGGAAAGAGTCTTTTCTGACAGTTCTCTTACCTTGTCAGCCTGTTCTCAAACAGTCCCATGTCCATAGGGCTCAAGTTAGAAATGTGGATGTGATGGAAGGCACCTAAATATTCATTCTGTGATTGTCAATGCCAGAAATAGGTTTTCATTTTGCCTCTTCATCAGCATGCTTTGTTACATCTGGCTTTTTATTTGGAACAAAGAATATGATACTTCTTATGGCAACAGATAAGCCTGCATTTCTGGAAATTAACCTTTACTTCTTAGGGAATTAGTTTCCACTGATACTGTAAACCCAAAGCAAAACAAATGATCGTAGGAATACTTTAAAGGTAAAAGAAAAGATGTTGGATTACATAGAGACCAAAATGGAGAACCAAAGAAAATATTCCATGTCTCTTCTTGTCGAAGGGTAGAGACATATAACTGAAGAATGTTGGCCTTAGGAGAGGGTAAATGACAAGGCTGATAAACTGTTCAAGACCCAGACAATCATCTCTTATCACTGTCATTTGATTTGGTTTGGCTCTGGAAATGTATGCTTTTCTTAAACAAAGCAGATTGGATCTATTCTAAAGTATTATCTCTGGCTGTGATCTGCCCTTCTCTTTAAGCTGTGACTACAAAGGAAAGTTTGTAGGTGATGGTTTCCTGTGACTTAAGTTTGATGGAACAATGTTTTTTTTTTTTTCTTTTTGCTGTATGTAATTTGTATTAGCTATCTGTTTTTAAAGTGTTTTTTAATCTAACATCATGAAAACAGTACTTTGGGTTCAACTTTTCATGTGAGTGCTTTTCAAAAGGCAATTTTAACACTTTGGACATGTTTTTGCTTTTGAAAAGTGTATATTATATGTGGAACTTATTGGCCATAAATATTAAAGATATTCAATAAAATGACATTGAAATTTTGATTACTTCTTGATTTTTCAGGAAAGATATGTTGTTTGTAGACTTATTATTATTATCTTCTGGGGAGACAGAAAGTATTCATTTGACAGTGAAGGCAAGGATTGGATAACAGACAGAGGGTTAAGCTGATGCACTTGACTCTTTTTTTTTTAAACAAAATTATATATTTGAGAAGCAGTGAAACAGATGAGAGTGAGCTCCAATCTACTGGTTCACTTCCCAAATGCACAGGATGGCCAGGGCTAGGAGGGAACTGAGTCCAAGACTCCCACATGGATGACAGGAATCCAGTTACCTGAGCTATCACTTGTGCCTCCCAGGATCTGCATTAGCAAAAAGCTGGAGTCAGGAGCCAGAGGCGAGTATCAAACCCAGGCACACCAATATTGATGTGAGTGTCTTGAATGGCATCTTAATTGCTAGGCCAAATGCCTACCCTGAGTCTTCATTTTGAATTTACCTTTTTAGTTCATTTGAGAGAAAGTCAGTGTGAAGTAGTGGGACATATACATTATAGAATATTACAGGGCAAGATGTGATTTAATTAATTAGAAAACATTTATTAAACTTAATGAAAAGAATGACTGTTATTAGAGCTATCTGTAGCATTCATTCATATCATCAGTCCACAACAGGAAGCAAATGTTAGAATGTTAATTTTTTAAAGTAATTTTATGTATTATCTTATTCTGTGTTTTTACTTTTAGGACCGGAGTAGGCCCTATGACACTTTTAACTTGCACTCGTTGGAGAACTCCTTAATGGATATGATAAGGACTGATCATGAGCCTCTGAAAGGTAAACACTACCCTCCCAGTGGCCCACCAATGAGTTTCGCTGATATAATGTGGAGGAATCATTTTGCAGGTTAGGAATATTCATATGTCCATTCCTTGCTTGGTGTTTTAAGCAAAAATCAGCTTTTTAATAATTGTGATTTTTTTTTTGGTTTGTGTTTGTTTTTATTTTGCTTCTGTAAAGCATTGTGGAATGTTTTTATTTTATTTTATTTTATTTTATTTTATTTTATTTTATTTTATTTTTGACAGGCAGAGTTAGAGAGAGAGAGAGAGAAAGAGAGAAAGGTCTTCCTTCTGCTGGTTCACCCCTAAAATGGCCAGGAGCCAGGCGCTTCCTCGTGGTTTCCCATGCGGGTACAGGGCTCAGGCACTTGGGCCATCCTCCACTGCCTTCCTGGGCCACAGCAGAGAGCTGGACTGGAAGAGGAGCAACCAGGACAGAATCTGGCCCCCAACCAGGACTAGAACCCCGGGGTGCCGGCGCCGCAGGTGGAGGATTAGCCAAGTGAGCCACAGCACTGGCCTGTGGAATGATTTTAAAGTTGATTATTTTTTAAACTTGTGTTTGGCTACCCGTAATCAAGATTGAGTTCTGGCAGAAGCGTGTGTTGGATAGCTGAGGTCAAGGTTATAGCATTAGACCAGAAGCCAAGTTTTGTAGGCTTTGTGTATTTGGAATCCTCAGCTCTACCTGAATAATTAATTAATGTCCAGATATACTGCAAAGAAGTATGAGATTTAGTAAACCACTCTCTAAAGACTACAGAAAACTTCATATAGAAGCCACTTTACTAAAATGGAATCACTTTTCTAGTACAGGAAGTATCACTATTATAAAGCAGCCAGTGACCCTTTGCTTCCTCTGAGGCTAAAATACAAGGAAAACATCTTAAACTATGTAAATGTTTTAGTTTAAATAAAATAAGACAGAAAATCCTAAGGCGGGCAATATTGGGGCTTTCTGTGTTTAGAACCAATGCAAATTCAGGATGGATATTGATGTTACATTTGTAATTCCAGATCTTTTTTTATGATTTATAATACTTTTTAATGACCATATGATATTTTAAAAACCTGTAATACAAATTATCTGTGGAAATATCCACTATACTTGGGTTAGGGCCTAAATATCTGAACACTGTGAAGAATTAGCCACTGGGATGTCCATCTTGTATGGACCGAGGTGTCTTCCAGAGTTGTGAGGAACTTGATCCTTTCTGCTTCTCGCTGCGCCCTTACATAGTGCGGCGGATTCTGAACACCTGACACTCATTTTTCTTTAGCCACACCAGAAATCCATTTTACCATTGTTTCACACTCATAAGAGTTTCTCCTGCTTTTCTCAGTTTCCAGTGAAAAGTGACTAGTTAGTAAGATATGAAGACAATAAAAATATTTTGAGAAAAGCTGAATTTTAAAACTTTCAGAAGCAGGATAAAATATCTTATTCATTATTCATTGTTATATTTAGCCCCTGTTAACACATGTTTCTTCAGTGACAAGATTAGGTATATGGTAATTTAAAGCATATTTAATTTAAAAGTGAGAACAATGTTTTTTAAAAAAACAATATTGCACAGACTGTTTTGTGTTTTTCGTATCCTTTTTTTTTTTTTATTTTTTATTTTTTTTTGACAGGCAGAGTGGACAGTGAGAGAGAGAGACAGAGAGAAAGGTCTTCCTTTGCCGTTGGTTCACCCTGCAATGGCCGCCGCGGCCGGCGCACCGCGCTGATCCGATGGCAGGAGCCAGGAGCCAGGTGCTTCTCCTGGTCTCCCATGGGGTGCAGGGCCCAAGGACTTGGGCCATCCTCCACTGCACTCCCTGGCCACAGCAGAGGGCTGGCTTGGAAGAGGGACAACCGGGACAGAATCCGGCGCCCCGACCGGGACTAGAACCCGGTGTGCTGGCGCCGCTAGGCGGAGGATTAGCCTAGTGAGCCGCGGCGCCGGCCTGTTTTTCGTATCTTCTAAGACTATGTCTTCCTTCTCTGCCATCCATAGCTATAGACCTGTCCTAACTATTCTAAAATATTTAGCTACTTTTCTTTATATATACCCATTTTATCTTGGCCTATTTTTTTCTTCTAGAAATAAAAGATTGTCAAGAGATCTTAGATTATATTCTATACAGTACCTTTGCAGAATTTTGTGAATGTTGGTTCTGTTGAGAGTAGCATTAGCATAGTACAAGAAGTGTACCTTGCTACAGAATAATGTAAATACCTTATTCCAGTTGTGATGACCTATTTTTATTGCATGTCCAACCACCTCTGCATAGATTTCTTTACTGTACTTGGAAATATGAGGCTCTCTATAAAAGCCTGCTGGCTTGTGCTTACGTTACATCCTAATAAGTTGTCAGACACTTAGTATGCAGCCCTGATATGGTTGAAACTTTTCAGTTCATCCTATCACTCATGTTGATTTCCTATGAATTGAATACTTCCTTGTGATCACAGACATCACTGTGTCATTGTTCTCTGGTTAGGGTATTTGAATTTCCTTCTTTCCTTTTCTACTTGGGAGACTTTTAATTTGGTTTATGGCACTGTGTGTCTGATGATTATTATGACATAATTATACTTGCATTTTATTTTTTATAAAGTTTTTTTTTTTTATTCATTTGAAAGAGTTACAGAGAGAAAGAGGAAGAGACAGAGAGAGACAGAGAAAGAGAGAGATCCTCCATCTGGTAGTTCACTCCCCAAATGGCTGTAACGGCCAGGGCTGGGCCAGGCCAAACCCTCTTTAAAGCTCCAGTGTCCTCATCATTAAAAGAAAAGACTTAATAGAATGAGTAAGAAGATTAAGTAAAAGCCCTGGCACTATAAAATGTTCAAATAATTTCTACTATTTTTTAAAGGATTTATTTATTTATTTTGAAAGGCAGAGTTACAGAGAGGCAGAGCAGAGGCAGAGAGAGAGAGAGAGGTCTTCCATCCTCTGGTTCACTCTGCAGATGGCCACAATGGCTGGAGCTGTGCCAATCAGAAGCAAGGAGCCAAGAGCTTCTTCTGGGTCTCCCACGTAGGTGCGGGAGCCCAAGGACTTGGGCCATCTTTTACTGCTTTCCCCGGCCATACCAGAGAGCTGGATTGGAAGTGGAGCTGCCGGGTCTTGAACTGGCGCCCATATTGGATGCTGGCACTATAGGCAGCGGCTTTACCCACCATGTTGCAGCACCAGCGCCCTATTTTCTACTATTTTTTTAAAAAGATTTATTTATTAATTTGAAAGTCAGAGTTACACAGAGAGAAGAGAGCAGAGAGAGAGAGAGAGAGATTTTCCATCCATTGATTCACTCCCCAAATAGCCACAATGGCCAGGGCTGACCAGGACCTTCATTCAGGTCTCCCATATGGGTGCAAGAGCCCAAGCACTTGAGCCATATTCTGCTGCTTTTCCCAAGCCATTAGCAGGGAGCTAGATTAGAAATGGAGCAGCCGGGGCTGGCGCCGCGGCTCAATAGGCTAATCCTTCACCTAGTGGCGACAGCACACCGGGTTCTAGTCCCTGTTGGGGCACCGGATTCTGTCCCGGTTGCCCTTCTTCCAGGCTAGCTCTCTGCTGTTGTCCGGGAGTGCAGTGGAGGATGGCCCAAGTGCTTGGGCCCTGCACTTCATGGGAGACCAGGAGAAGCACCTGGCTCCTGGCTTCGGATCAGTGCGATGCGCCGGCAGCAGTGTGCCGGGCCGTGGCGGCCATTGGAGGGTGAACCAACGGCAAAGGAAGACCTTTCTCTCTGTCTCTCTCTCTCTCACTGTCCACTCTGCCTGTCAAAACAAACAAACAAACAAAAACAAAGGGGCCGGCACTGCGGCTCAATAGGCTAATCCTCCGCATTGTGGCGCCGGCATACCAGGTTCTAGTCCCGTTCGGGGCACCAGATTCTGTCCTGGTTGCCCCTCTTCCAGGCCAGCTCTCTGATGTGGCCCAGGAGTGCAGTGGAGGATGGCCCAAGTGCTTGGGCCCTGTACCCCATGGGAGACCAGGAGAAGTACCTGGCTCCTGGCTTCGGATCAGCGTGGTGTGCCGGCCGTGGCGGCCATTGGAGGGTGAACCAACGGCAAAGGAAGACCTTTCTCTCTGTCTCTCTCTCTCACTGTCCACTCTGCCTGTCAACAACAACAACAACAACAAAAAATAAAAAATAAAAAAATAAAAAATAAAATACTATTGTTTTAAAAAAAAGAGAGAAATGGAGCAGCTGGGACAAAAACTGGTGCTGAAATGGGATGCTGGCATTGCAGATGGTGGATTTTCCCACTGTACCACAGTGCTGGCTTATGCCAGTTGCCTGGCTTCAGTAATACGGTAAATCTTCACATCCATACAATAGTGACTTCCTTCCAACAAGACTGCCGCTAAATGTTAAAAGCTTTCTTATGCGTGTTGTCAAAATTTTGTATTTTCCATAAATAAGTAGTGGTGGTTGAAGGATAAATGTGCTATCATTAAAAAAAAAAATCACCTAAAGGAGCAGGTATTTTGTGCACCAATTAAGACACTGCTTGGCCCTGTGCTTCCCGTATCGAAGTGCCCGGCTTTGAATCCTCTCTGTTTCTGATTCTAGCTTCCTTCTAATGTGTACCCTGGGAGGTAGCAGATGATGGCTCCAGTGCTAGGGTTGCTGGCACCCATGTGGCAGACATGGACTGTATACTGGTCTGCCATCTTTGGCCTGACCTGGCCTGGCTCTGGCTGTTGTGATTTTGGAGAGTAAACCACCAGATGGAAGATCTCTATCTTTCATATAAAAATAAATAAACTATTAAATAAATAAATAATTTAAAACCACCTAAAGACAAAAGGAAAACAGTACTCCTAAGTCATGTTGACTTTCCAAAATTGTCTACCTGAATAATATAAATATTGGCCGGCGCCGCGGCTCACTAGGCTAATCCTCCACCTTGTGGCGCCGGCACACCGGGTTCTAGTCCTGGTCGGGGCGCCGGATTCTGTCCCGGTTGCCCCTCTTCCAGGCCAGCTCTCGGCTGTGGCCCGGGAGTGCAGTGGAGGATGGCCCAAGTGCTTGGGCCCTGCACCCCATGGGAAACCAGGAGAA